CCCCGAGCCAGCTCCTAGGTTTCGGTATTTAGATCAAAGAGGTGTTCTGCACGCCCTTGTAGGGCTGCGGCCTCGTAGTAGGGTTATCTTTGAGGCACTAACCTTATGGCTCATGGCAATGCTCTTTGTTACTTCCATGTCTGTACATAAATCCAACTGATCAACCTAGTGTATGACCCAGAGTTCAAACAATACTCAAGGGATCTTTTGAACATGGCCCTCTCTCGTTTTTGTCTCTCACAAATTGGTTTAAGTCAGTCGTTAACATATCATTAATTGCTGTAACACAACTGAGGACGACTGCTGCCCTTTTCGCGACTGATAGTATTTCTATTTGAATATACTCCGTATACCTTATGAGCGCGTCCACTGGACGTATGAAAATAAATAAATAACATTGTTCTTTGTTACAGCCGTAGGAAAAGTTGTAACAGCATTTCCGTCGGAGAGCAGGAGGTGCCCGTTCGGCTCTCGCTAGTTTACGTTTTCAAGGCCTTTTACTGGTGGCTTCGGTATTATCAAAAACTACAAGTATGAATCGGGTCAAGAAATATCACTTGAATCATCAAAAAAAAATCAATCCACTAAAAAAACTGTTTTCATTGTAGATTCAGATTCATTGCGTTTTGCAGAACTGCGATTGGCACTATACCAAGAATTAAGAAACTTCTAATGTATCGCTACGCAAATATTCTCTGTACATTGCATTTGTTGAACCGATGTCTGGAGTTAGTGGTGGAGTCTTCTCAGCTGTCTTGTCTTCGGAGGGAGGTGTTTGTTCGCCATTCTGTTCCTCGATCTGTTCTTCTGTGTTCTGCTCGATACGTTGTTTGATGGGAGAAGCCGGAGAGAAAGCTCCACGACGGCCAAGCAACCAGAATGTTTCCATCACACCCTTTCCCTGAAAGAATACCGGACTATACATGACAGTTGAGTTGCTGAGACATCTGCGTTTTTTGCGCTCTGTGAAACTCACCAGGTATTAAAACCAGGTGAATAAAAATAGCGCAGGAAACAGCGGCAACTCGGGAAGAGCATCCGTATGAAATTTCGGAAATCATGTTACCTTTATAATGACTTCTCCTCTGAGCTCAGTTTCATAATCTGCTTGGTACTCTTTCACCAGCAAATCGTGCGCATTCTTTAGTCAAATGGATGTAACCAGCTGAATGGAACGGTGTTATGTGATTGAATTTCAAACTTCTTCGAAAAGGCTTCCTTCCGCAATATGAATTTTCCGGAAAATAAGAAAGATTCGCTAATATGAACTTAAAGGCACAGTCCACAGTCGAAGATATGTGGGTCCAAAAATGAACGCAGATTTTGTAACTGAGTCGACCAGCAATGAAGGGGAGCAAACAAAGTTGCTAAGAAGTTCAAAATGACATTGCGCTGATCGTATGGGTGGCACGCCTAAATGCTGATGCATTTCTTATTGGTCGGTCCCAGCACTCCACAGCATTCTGCTGTTTTTTTATTCATTTATTTATTCAAACACGCGTAGGTGCGCTGACACATCCTCAATAAAAATTGGTCTGTAGTAACACATATAATTAAACGAAGCTAAATCGACCTTAGTGCGACAGGTTGAGAGCCTCCTTCTACGAAAGAGGAATTGAAAAGGATTTTACATTGCAAATTGATCGGCAGAATTTGAAGTCTGTGCAAGCATTAATTACAAATATTCAGTATTCAGCCTTCAGTAGGCGGATAGCGCTAGGGAGAACGCCACTCCTAATCGACAGAATATGTATATCTAAGGAATCCGAACCTGAATTTTCGGATGTTAGGTATTCCCTACCCCTAACAATTCAGGCCCAGACCCGCCAGCACATTTCATCATTGAGAGGAGATGCGAGCAATGCCCAGTTGGGCCGGTACAACCCACATGATTAGGGCGCAATCGTTTTCAAAAGCTGCAAGCAAATCTGTTTGCTCTCTTTCATTAGTGGTCGACTCTAGTAGAACTTCTATTTTTTTCACGAACGCAATAATCCACACATTCAATCGTGTAATGTGCCTTTAAATATGGCCTATGTAGCCTAAAGGGACGCACGTTTTCCATTGCTTTCCATGCGTGATGAGGTGTTCACAGTGTCGCCGAAGAGACAGTAGCGAGGCATGCTAAGACCGACGACACCTGCTACGCAAGGCCCTACAAGAAATTGATTCATAACTTATTAACGAACATCTAACTATTCCCACAATGACTTTCTTACTGCTATAAGAAAAAAGATTTTTTGGAGGAATTTTGAATTTGTAAATTGAGCCAAATATGTACCCAATAAAGGGTTCAAACCGTGAAGGGTGGAACACAGCACTTTCGGAGGCTAAGGTATTTTCTGAATTATTATCAAGGCGATAAATTGGAAAACTTGTCACCTGAATTGACTCCTATTCGAAGCTGAACCCTTTCTCTAGGAAGAGCTGATATCCTGAAGTTGTCAACAAACTTCATGAACGATAGCGACAGCTCGGAGATCTCCTTGATGTGAGCGTAGCCATTCCTCGCTGGAAGACCAGAGACGCACAAATATCCATCACCAATCGATTCCACCTATGTCATTCTGATTAAAAGTTCTGAATTCTTTCCCTAGTAACCATTTTACTTTTTTTCAAGGCCATTTATTTTGAGCTTTCCCCCTTACGTGCAAGAGGAAAAGAAGTAAATGGGGAGCATGAAATAGAGTGAAGTTCTGACAGAATCAAGGAATTCTGGTCCCAAAGGTTCGGAAAGAAGGTGAACTCGGAGTGAAAGTTGCCCAGCGTGGGACTGCTTGGGATACCCAGTCAGTTCGGATAATGAGTAGGCGTGAGTAGTAGCCTTACGGTCGATGTCGCCATAGATGGAAAACGGATTAAGCTATTGCTGTAGGCGACGCGAACGCGGACGCTAGCGAATCGCTCGTTTCGCAAAGTCTGACATCGGCCTACTGTGGACAGCTACTGGGATAATTAATGGCACGAAGCTCCCTCTAGAACGAACCTACATCGCCCGATCAAAGCAGTAGCCTCGTTAAAAATCCTCAGAGGAATTCGAGTTATGGCCATTGGGAGTCCATACTCCGGCTTGTCTACTTACGTGACCACCAAAAATAATAATTATGTATGACGATGTTATTTCACTTCAGCAGGCTTACACTTCGAAAGAGCCCTATTTGGGGCAGAATGGTCCCAAACACAGCAAAACTTGCTCTGGGCTACCTTCATAAGAAAAAGCCTCTCCTTGACGCTGGGATATGCAGTGCACATTGCCCGATCAGAGCACTTTCGGAAATCCACTATGGGAATTTGAACGCATTTTGGACAAATTTGGACTCTGCCCCGAACAGGGCCGACTTCATCGCCATTCTCATCGCTTTCGTAGAGTATGGATGCCAGCCACGTTTAAGGACGAGGATCTCCTCAACGATAGCTTTTACATCTAACCAAACCAGTACCTTGTAAACGGAATGTTCCTCAATGATCGAGTCGAACCCATTATACAGATCGTTGAGTAGATTCACAATCTGTAATGAAAATTAGAATACGCAAAATTCGAGGCTCTGCTGAAAATAAGCTAACCTAATAACGTACTTGAAAAGCTGTACACTTTGCAGCTAACTGAGTGAACTTGACAACGT